AAACTATTCCTGTCAAACCGACGAGCTGCGCAGCGTTTAATCAAGTCCTAAAACAATTAATTACTTTAGTCTTAAAAGTGTAGTTTTTTAGTGAACTGATTGATGAAACGTCCATAAAAACAAAAAAAAGTAACTGTTGTTATGGTAAAGGCCTCGCTCACATGTGAGGGAAGTAAAACAAGCGATTGTGTTCTTCTTCACTCGTCTCTGTGGTTGGTTGCTCGTAAACGTCACGCACTCTGGAAAAACTCTGCACATATGGTCGATTTAAATGGGAATAAAATGAGCTTTGTACGTTAAACCGGGTTCAAGCTACACAGTATTTTTATCTCCGTATGCATACGCGTCGCCTCCTTATTAGATCGGTTTTCCAGTGACTCAAGAGTTTGTACATTCTATAGTTTTACTAAAAAAATTAAAATAAAGTGCAGCTACATCATAATTTTCTCTAATTGTTTGGCAATTATATATATTTTTAAAAATCTCTTCATAATAATTTGCATTTTAACCGCAGTGTCAATTTTTCATAAATAACAATTCAGCTAAAATCAGTCGAACATCGAACTTCACAACCAACAACACATGGGGGGGAGTTCATTTAAGTGTTCATACATTTGATCACTACACAAGAAAATAACTTTTTTTATGTGATAATAATCTTCAGATTATAATAATCCAGCAACACTGATGATGACTGAGGCTTTTGAATACGTTTCACCTGTAACACCCACATGACGAGCAGAAGTTTAACGAAAAAGGAAAAAAACAAAAAGACAAAAACAAAAACAAAAAAAACAAACATGCCATGACAGTAGTAACATGGTGGTAACGGCTCCAGCAGCATCGCTCTGAGCTCAAACCTACAAACACATGTACAGTTTCAACAGTGATTAATAAACACACACCTCCTGCTTCATGGTGCAGAGAAATCTAAGGCATCCGCTGGCGTGACATTTATGTGCAAGTACTTATATTTACAGAGGAGCTCGTGAGATAAACCCGGAACGTCTGAAGTAAAAATTCAAACACACTCTTTGGTCTGCAGCTGAAGATCACTGGTGTGCGGATGCACAGCTGATAGCTACACACGCCTGCTGCTACGAACATCCAGAAATAAGAAATGTTGCCTAAACTGATGAGACTCTGAAAACTTCCCAAACAACACTGAACGTTGTTCCTCGAGCTGGAACATCGACACTCACCCATTAACACTTCTTTTCTACAGATTTATGATTTTTTTTTTATTTTAAACAATTTTTTCAGTGACATAAAGAGAAGAGCAGCTCCTCAGCAGACTAAAGCTTCTAAAACTGAAAGGGCCAGACTCACTAACCATCCTGCAGTCAGGATTTACTGAAGACCACCAAAACCTGCACTCAGCTGTTTTTGCTGATTAACGGATCTGGTTTTAATTAACATGAAGTTTGTGGCAGGGCGCTTACTGCTGTTCAAGCCACACAAACACAAAAATCATGTTTCATCCTGCACCTGACGGGTTGCTGGGAGCATTAATGTACTTGGACAGCCAGGCGGAGAGGTTATCAGAAGGGTGGATGTTAGTGCAGCAGGAACCTTTCGAGCTGAGCTCAGCGTATTTCTGGTCAACAGTAATTGTACTAATACTAGTAATTCTGGTACTTTGATGTAATAGAGTAAAACAACACAGGAAGTCAGAGGGAGGGAATAGTTGCTCGCTACATGATTCATGTAAAAGCCATGGATGTGTTATGGGCACAGGTGAGCTGATGGGGCTGCAGTGTTTTAGGATTTTAATCACATTTCTGCACAAGTGCCGGCCCCTCATGAAACTGTAGCGCACAGAAACTTATTTTGTGTCTATTAATGAGAATCGGGCAAGAGTGTAGTGAGTTAGAGTCTTATAATCTGATCTGCAGGTGGAGTTCTGCAGAAACTGCTGTGCACAGACGGCTTTTAGTCGGATTGTTTCCTTTGACTTTCATAAATTCCTGCAGTCTCACACAGTAAAAGCATCATGGCACAACAGCGGTAACTCAATGCAAACATAAATAATGGCATGTGACGGCACATCCAACATGTGAGCTGTTCTCCTTCAGCTGTCTCTCACTGACCTGCTGCTTATGGAAACAACTCCACGTGTGAAGCTAGCCATGCTGTATTTTTTTGGTTAACAGCTCACTCGCACACCCAGCAGGCTCGTGTTTGACTCGATAATCGCTTTGGTCATTCCTGAAATGAACTGTGGCTGAGAAAAAGGGTTTTATTTGATGACTTTATCCTGTAACTGGACTAGAGCAGATAAAAGCCTCAGATTAAGTTCATCCACGGTTGGTACGTCTGATTTTTTTCTGGAAGTGCCAGCTCCATCTGCTCGCAGAACTTCCGACACAATTTCAGGTGAGGGACATGAATCGTCACCTTTGTAGTAAATAAATGCTGCATTCACATTTAGCAGATTTATTTCTACATGGAGGCATCATGTTTGCATACTTTTGTGAGCTGTGCAAGGGAGTTAATGGTTGTATGAAGCCACGAGAGACTTTAACTGAACCTACACGACTGACTTTACTCGCCTTTCCTTCCTCAGAATTCAGAAGTATGTCAGGAAGCTGCAGGCAAACCTAAGAAACAATGCTTTTGTCACCTGGTTGCGAGAAAACTGCCCTCTGTTAGTATCAACCACATCATCAAACACAAACAAACTCAACTCGAGCTGAAAGTCCTCACGACTTCTGTCTGTTTCATAGAGTCGAGTTAATGTCAAAGAAACTGAAGCAGGCACAAATCAAGTATTATTTTAACAGAAAACACAAAGATCTGCAAAATAACGCAACACTTGTGGATGACATTCGTTAATATTCTTCATCTATATTTTAAATCGAGGAGCCAAATATCACAAAAGTTGGAAATAAATAAAAATAATAATAAAACATATCAATCACGGCCTTCTTCTTTTAATCACTCGTAACACACCCCTAAATTTAAAGTCAGTGTTTACTCTCAAGCAGCTGTTTTTTTGGGTTGTAGAGTGAACGCAGCGTTAGCCGACATAGAAGAAAATAAAGATAAAAGTGTGTTGAGATAAAACGAGAGCGAAGTGCGTATGTTACACATCAGATCCTTGTCACGTCGCTAGGGTAACAAAGCAAATGGAGGTCATTTGGAGTTCATCATCATAATAATAATAATAATAATAAGCTGATCCCATTTTTCCAGCACAGACAAAATCAAAGACAAGTTTCCCAGTAACCGCTTCACCAGCAATAAATAATCCTCTACATAATTTATACATAAATATGAGGGTGAGGAGACGATGCCACCGCGTTGTTGGGAGATCAGGCGAGGTGGGGGCGTCTGTTTTTGTTTGTTTGTTTGATTTAAAGTTTCACTCGATGACTTTGTCCATCCTATAGACTACAGTGGTGGAGCTGTCCTCGTTCGACTCAGTGGGGGACACCTTTTTCCAAAGAGGGGCTTTCAGAGCCAGCTCCTGCTGGAGGCTCTCGTAATCCATAGGTCCGAAGGTCTGCTGCTGTTATTGACACGGATAATAAATTAGTCTCAAACCTGCGTTTGTGCCTGGGTTTATGTGCTGGGTGGATCGCTGCAACACTTGGAAGTGAAATGGAGCCAAAACAGTGCCATCAGTTTTCACAGTGTTTCCCACACATGTTAATGGAGCACTATACACCGACAACACTGCATAATGTAATAACACAACACAACTGCTTGCTCATATTGACAACTTATATCCCTACCAGGGGTCAGACATCTTTGTTTATAGAGCTATAAAACACTTTTAGGCCCTATAGTAACCGAAACACAGCTGATGGAGTATAAAGAGGCTAACAAAGTCAACAGCAGGTGTTAATTTAAATCTTTAAGCACATGTGACTCTGCAGCAGGGCATTTTCATCACAGTAAGACCACGCTTTCTTCTTCTTCTTTTTTGCATTAATAAAACTAAAGTAAGGGAAATTGTTTACATTTTGTTATTATTACCAACAAAATGTAACAATAAGTTAGCATATTTACGCTGACTCTGACACAGAGTAGCTATAAAGCTCTGAGCCTGCGTTAGCAGAAGGAATCAAAGTAAAAGAGCTGGCATAATAAATAAAGTAAATTTGACATATAGCATTATAGAAACTTTAAAAGTAGTATTTTTATACAATAGATTAGATTCTATCTAATCAATAGATTGTGATTAAAGTCCAGCAGCAGATTAAGCACTAAGTCAGTAACTCAGCAAACAAATCTGTCCTCAAAATCCTCTTTTTCCACTTTTACATTTGTAGCTCAGGTGACTCAGGACTACACACTTAGGACACTTCCACACTGACCACCTGAGCAAAACAGTTTTCTTTCAGATTTTTAGACTTGACGAAATCCTGCCGTTATTACACCTGATTCACATCATCCGACATGCTCGGTGCGAGCTAGAGCTTTAAAAAAAAACATGGTGGTTAATCAGAAAAGGAGAACATTCCTTTTTGATCATTTCAACACGTTTGTGTTTACTTGCTTAAACAGAAAGTAGAGATGGCGAAAGCCCGGATGCAGCCTGGACCCCAGTTTTTATAAAGTCACATGATGGAAAAAGCCGCAGCTACGTCAGCAGAGTAACGGATAAAAGCTTTACTAGTGCTCGCCATTGTGGAAGTGCACGCTACGGTCTGAAGAAATACTTCAGTTTCCTCTGAAAAAGGTTCTGGGCACTCTGAATGTAAAATGTGAGGGAAACACTGCATCATCTACCAGACATGTTCTGAACGATCAGACTGAGTTTGGCTCCAGGTGTGTTTTAACTGAAGATTTGGCTCCTTGTATGTTAAATATATGCAGTAAACGAATATACTCCACTCACTTTATGCAGCTCTTCCACCCGAAGGAGGAACAGGGACAGTTTAGGGGCTACTGTGCGTGCAGTTATGGAGGTCAGTGCAAACAGCTGAGACTACAGGAAGCTGCTGGAGAGGTGTGCTGTCACATGAGCCTGACGAGGCGGCGTTTGTCCTTACCCGCTGGTCGCCTCCTTCTCTGCGAGGGTCGTGCTTCTTGGCGAAGTGCCTCAGATTGTCGTAGTTGTGGAAGTTGAAAAGCTCCACCAGGTCCTGAAATACAAAGACAGAAAGTCTGAAACTAAC